AGGCGCGCACCACCATGCCCAGCTAATTTTTGTATTTTTAGTAGAGACGGGGTTTCACCATGTTGACCAGGATGGTCTCGATCTCTTGACCTCGTGATCCACCCGCCTCGGTCTCCCAAAGTGCTGTGACTATAGGCGTGAGCCACCGCGCCCGGCCAAGTTTGTATTTTTAATAGAGAAGGGGTTTCTCCATGTTGGTCAGTCTGGTCTCGAACTCCTGACCTCAGGTGATCTGCCCGCTTCAGCCTCCCAAAGTGCTGGGATTACAGGTGTGAGCCACCGCACCTGACTAGCTCTGTACTTTCTAGAGGGACAAACTGCTTTTAGTCTGAGTCTTAGCTTCTGTGTCTGCAAAGTTGCCTGCTATAAAGGAGTCAGCCTGACAACCTCAGAGGAATATTCTAAAGAGAAGCCAGGGAATAACTCCTCTGATAAAGGATCAGCCAACATTCAGCCAGGCTCAAAGTAGGGCATCTCTAAGAAACAGCAAGTATACGGTTGCTTTCCTTAGAAGATAAAATAAAATACAAAGGAAAGGGCAAGTAATGTGTTTACTCCTATTTTGTAGATGAATGCACTGAAAATTGAAGTCATCAGCTCCAAGGTCACAAGACTAGTAAGTGTTTGAAGCCAGCTTTCTCTTCTACTGCACAGTACTCTACAGTTTAAGAAGACTCTCCATGCACCATTTATCTCACTGGGGCTCTACAACACATCCATGAAGGAGACACAACACTAACTTCATTTTAAGGCTGAAAGAACTGAGTCTTGGCCGGGAGTGGGTGGCTCATGCCTATAATCCCAGCACTTTTGAGAGGCCAAGGCGGGCGGATCACCTGAGGTCAGGAGTTTGAGATCAGCTTGGCCAACATGGGTGAAACCCCGTATCTCTAAAAATAAAAAAAAATAATAAAAAAATAAAAAAATAAAAAAAAAACAACAAAAAAAGCCGGGCACGGTGGTGGACGCCTGTGATCCTAGCTACGCGGGAGGCTGAGGCAGGAGAATCGCTTGAACCCTGGAGGCAGAGGTTGCAGTGAGCACTCCGGTTTGAAACAGAGCAAGGCAGTCTCAAAAAAAAAAAAAAAAAAAAAAATGACTTGTCCAAGGAGACTGAAGGCCTTGGGGCTCAATGCCACTCTGCTCACAACCACCACCATCTTCCTTCTGGCTGACTTCAGTGCCTTCNAAAAAAAAAAAGAAACAAAAGAACTGAGTTTCTTTTTTTTTTTTTTTCAACGAGCCAAGACTAAACCCAACTCTTCCAATTCTAAGAGGACAATGAGTGTTTTATAACCAAACTGTTACTATTGGCTGGGTTGTGCGACTCGTGGAAAGCACCTGGGAACCAGATTTCTGCGGAACCTCAATGGCAGGGTGAGGTACTAGGGCTCAACTGAGGAAGGAAGCCCTAGGGCGCTGGAAGGTGACAGAGGAGGGACATGATCTAAACTGTTCAGGAATCAGAGAGAAAGCCCTGCGCATTTCGAGACCAGATCAGCTGAGATGAAGGCTGCTTTATTAATTACCTAGCCTAGAGTTTTACAAATTCTCCTGAAAAAATTTAGCTGAAACACTTCCCCACCACATTTCCCAGGGTCCCCAGTCTTGGAAATATCGCACCCTTTGCCTGGGAAGGTTCTCCTGGAATTCGGAGTCTTAACTCAGGAATCCGGAGTGTTAACACGCCTCGCCCGCAGGGTGTATCTCTCTGGTAGGTTTGGGGAATCTGAAAAAGCTCAACACCAGCCTTGCAGCTGAGGGCGAAAAGCGGGAGCCAGACAGCAAGGGTTCACCCAGAGCTCAAGTTACCTTCTCGATTTTGCCCAGGAAAAGGTGTTTGGCGAAAGCTCGTACAGGCGGGCTGGTGCGCAGTGGCCGCCGGCTCGCGGTAAAGACCACCAGAGACCGGCAGGCACGAGCCGCAGCCACAGTGCGCAGGAAGAGCCCGCAGCCGCTCATGCTGCCGGATGTTCTTCGTCCTCAGCTTAGCGCCTCGGGGACACACACGGTCCGCAACGCCTGATGACGTTACCGGCCCGCGACGACGTGCCGTACTCACTGCGCCGGCGCAGTTTCCCGCAGCAGGGCATGGAAAGGCCAGAAGGATCCGACGACTGACACCATTCGCGGCCAAGGCCTTAGTCACGTGCACCTGGCCCGCGCCGCCTGATGACGTCACGCGCCAAAGCTTCCCGCCGGCCCCACTGCGCTTGCGCGGCCACAGGAACTCGGCGGAGGAGATTGGAGGGGCGGGGCCGCGGGCATCTTGCTGGGCTCCGGCAGTCCTGACGGCGCTGAATCATCTTTTGTTTTTTTCTTTTTCTTTTTTTTAATCTGTCTTTATTTTTATTTATTTATTTTTTTAAGACGGAATTTCACCATGTTGGTCAGGCTGGTCTTGAACTCCCGACCTCAGGTGATCCGCCCGCCTTGGCCTCCAAAGTGCTTGGATTACAGGCGTGAGCCACCACGCCCGGCCTATTTTTTATTTTTTTAAACTTCCCCTAACATAGATCATAGGAAATAAGAAAGATTTGTTTTTCACATACCAATGGTTCTTTCTATAATGCCAGCCCTGGGAAGCTTCCTTGTGTACAGAAACCTAAAGGCCGGCCCAGCTGCCTCCCTTAGTAGAGACGGGGTTTCACCATGTTGGCCAGGATGGTCTTGATCTCCTGACCTCGTGATCCACCCAGCCACCTGAAGTGCTGGGATTACAAGCGTGAGCCACCACGCCCGGCCAAGATTCCATTTTTAACTGGTTAGTGGATTCCTGAGATACTGTTTTGTTCCTAGCTCACATGTATGCTACGTATATTTTTTGGAACAAAAAATAAAACTCGTGTTCAGCCACAGAGCGGTCTGGATAAAACTGAGTCACCTCTGTCTTAGGAAACACTAACTTAAAAGGCGGGCGGAGGAAGAGAAGCTACAGAGGGAGCTGAAAAGAGGTGGGAACTATTGGATGGGATGGGACAGGCCAGACTGTAACCACCCAAGGGGTTCACCTTGCCCGCTGCCTAGACAGCTGATTTACCAAGACAGGGGAATTGCAATGGAGAAAGTAATTCACGCAGAGCCAGCTGTGCTGGAGAGGGAGTTTTGTTACCCAAATCAGTCTTCCCCAAAACAGAGAGAGGAATTTTTAAGGATAGTTTGGCCAGTGGGAGCTTGGGAAGTGGGAAGTGCTGATTGGTCGGGTTGGAGATGGAATCATAGGGGGTCGAAATGAGTTTTTCTTGCTGTGTTGTGTTCCTGGGTAGGATTGCAGAACTGGCTGAGCTAGATTACCAGTCTGGGTGTTGTTAGGTTTAACAGCATGTGATGTTATTCCCAGGAGCAATTTGGGGGAGGTTCAAACTCTTGCAACCAAAGGCTGCATGGCCCCTAAACTGTAACTTTTAATCTTATAGCTAATCTGTAGGTCCTCCAAAGGCCGACTGGTCCCAAGCAAGAAGAGGTTGTTTTTTTGTTTTGTTTTCCTTTTTTTTTTTTTTTTTGAGACGGAGTTTGGCTCTTGTTACCCAGGCTGGAGTGCAATGGCGCGATCTCGGCTCACCGCAACCTCCACCCCCTGGGTTCAAGCAACTCTCCTGCCTCAGCCTCCCAAGTAGCTGGGACTACAGGCACTTGCCACCATGCCCAGCTAATGTTTTCCTTTTTTTGTTGTTCTTTTTGTTTTGTTTTTGTTTTTTGTTTCAAAGTTAAACTATAAATTCATTCCTTCCCAAGGTTAGTTCAGCTTATGCACAGGAATGAACAAGGACAGCTTGGAGGCTAGAAGCAAGTTGGAGTTGGTTAAGTCAGATATCTTTCACTGTTTACAATTTTGCAGTGGCAGTTTCAAGGCCAGGCTACAGATCTTCAGCTCAGCCCCAAAAAAGATTGAATTACTGCTGGGTGTGGTGGCTCATGCCTGCAATTCTGCACTTTGGGAGGCTGAGGTGGGTGGATCAGGAGGTTAAGAGTTCAAGAACAGCCTGACCAACATAGTGGACACCCCGAATCTACTAAAAATACAAAAAATTAGCCGGGCATGGTGGTGCATGCCTGTAATCCCAGCTAACGGGCCCCCTACAGATCTTCAGCCAGCTCCTCCAGGGAGAATGCTGCTCTGCTTTTTCACTCAGACCTGTAATCTGGCTCAACCAGTTCTACAATCCCACCCAGGAACAGAAGACAGCAAGAAAAACTCACTTCGACCCCCTATGATTCCATCTCCAACCCGTCCAATCAGCATTCCCCACTTCCCAAGCACCTACTTGCCAAATTATCCTTAAAAACTCCGATCCTTGTTTTTGGAGAGACTTGTTCCTTGACTGTAACATTGACCACAGCGTTGGTAAATGCCTCCAGCTTCCCTTGTATGAACTCCTTGAGAACAGAACGAAATCCCTTTCATCTCAGTGAGCTAAGCTCAGCCCCAAAAAAGATTGAATTACTGCTGGGTGTGGTGGCTCATGCCTGCAATCCTGCACTTTGGGAGGCTGAGGTGAGTGGATCAGGAGGTTAAGAGTTCAAGAACAGCCTGACCAGCATAGTGGCCACCCCGAATCTACTAAAAATACAAAAAATTAGCCAGGCATGGTGGTGCATGCCTGTAATCCCAGCTACTCGGGAGGCTGAGGCAGGAGAATCCCTTGAACCTGGGAGGCAGAGGTTGCATGCGGTGAACCGAGATTGCACCGTTGCACTCCAGCCTCGGCAACAAAAGTGAAACTCCGTCTCAAAAAAAAAAAAGATTGAATTGCTAATACAACATCAAGAAAAAAGAGCTCAAAACTCTACAAGGTGTAGAGTCTAAACTGCAAAATATTTGCAGGCATCTTTTCAGATTATTTTATCTTGTCTAAGGTCTCTCACCTGGTTTCTTCATCAGTGGTTGATATTTACTTGTTTAGCATCCAGTTTCACAAGAAGGTATTTGGAAACAATTGTCTTTGTAAATTAGCCCCGTGGGTAAAACAAAGAAAAATATATTGCAAAAACTGAATTTTGAGCTGCTGTATATTTTTGCCAAAACAAATGTGGTCACATCAGTTTGATAATATGTCAGTCTTCTTTAGTATACACAGGTCTCCCTAAATCAACCAAATGAGAAATCCAGTGGCACATATTTTACAAAATAAAAATTAGAAATAATTTTGCTTTGCTTTTTATACACAAGAAAGAAAAAAAAAGAAAATTAGAAATATTTTAAGGCTTTTTTTTTTTTTTTTTTGGACGGAGTTTCGCTCTTGTTACCCAGACTGGAGTGCAATGGCGCGATCTCGGCTCACCGCAACCTCCGCCTCCTGGGTTCAGGCAATTTTCCTGCCTCAGCCTCCTGAGCAGCTGGGATTACAGGCACGCGCCACCAGGCCCAGCTAATTTTTTGTATTTTTAGTAGAGACGGGGTTTCACCATGTTGGCCAGGCTGGTCTTGAACACCTGACCTCAGGTGATCCACCCACCTCGGCCTCTCAAAGTGCTAGGATTACAGGCGTGAGCCACCGCGCCTGGCCTTAAGGCATTATTTCTAATTACTCCAATAAAGCATAGCGGGAGTTTTGCTCTTTCACTACTATATCAGTTTCTAAATTTAGTTTCCTCATCTGTAAATATGAATATGATACCCTTTATCTCACAGGACTTTTAAGAGGTTTAAATAAAATAATCCACATGAAAGCACTTAGCACAGCAAATGATTTCTTCTGCAGTACTGTAAAAATGAAGATGGTTACTCTTTCATCTTTTTTCTTTCTTTCTTTCAGACGGAGTCTTGCTCTGTTGCCCAGGCTGGAATGCAGTGTCACAATCTCTGCTCAATGCAATCTCCACCTCCCGGGTTCAAGCAATTCTACTGCTCAGCCTCCTGAGTACCTGGGACTACAGGCACGTGCCACCACGCTCCACTAATTTTTTGTATTTTTAGTAGGGACGAGATTTCACCGTATTAGCCAGGATGGTCTCGAACTCCTGACCTCGTGATCTGCCTGCCTCAGCCTCCAAAAGTGCTGGGATTATAGGCGTGAGCCACCGCGCCAGCTTTCTGATCCTTCCATCTTATAAAGTATTAGCCTCTGAAAAATATGATGTTGTTTTAAACAGTTTCCCCTATTCAGTGTGTTAAAAACTTCAGCTGAATTAAATTTAAAGGAGTATAATTGGCCAGGTATGGTGGCTCATGCCTGTAATCCCAGCACTTTGTGAGGATGAGGCGGGCAGATCACTTAAGGTCAGGAGTTTGAGACCAGCCTAGCCAACAGGGTAAAACACCCTCTCTACTTTTTTTTGTTTTTGTTTTTGTTTTTTTTATGGTCTGGACTCTGAATACCACCCTCTCTACTAAAGATACAAAGATTATCGGGCATGGTGGTGAGTGCCCTCGGAAGGCTGAGGCAGGAGAATCAATTAAACCCGGGAGGTGGAGGTAGCAGTGAACGGAGACTGCACCACTACACTCCAGCCTGGGTGACAGAGTGAGACTCTGCCTCAAAAAAAAAAAAAAAAGTTTAATTGAGCAATGAATGATTCGAATCAGGCAGCTTTCTGAGCCAGAGCAAGCTCAGAGACTCCAGCACAGCCATATAATGGAAGATTTATGAACAGAAAAGGAAAGTGATGTACAGAAGATGGAACCGAGGTACAGAAACAGCTGGATTGGTTACAGCTTGGCCTTACCTTATTTGAACACAGTTCGAACAGTTGACTACATTTGATTAGCAAAAACTCCATGATTGGCACACGTGTAGCTTAAGGTCTGTTCATGCCTCCGCTTGTTATAGTTTACAATGTGCAGAAAACCTTTCAGCTGAAATTAAAATATGTAAGGTAAGGAGGCAGCTCTAGGCTAAACTAGATTTAACAAGTATTTAAAATATCCTCACAGTAGTTCTGAATGTCTCCTTCCATCAGTTCAACTGATTCACAATGTAACAGAAAGTGAACATTCTTTAGCTATAATGTTAGTGTTAGTGTAGCAGAATGCTTGACTCTGGGTATCAGGAACATTGAGTAGAAAACTGCTGCTTGATCCCTTATTATTAAGGCTGAGGCTGAGACTGGACTGATTATTTTTAAGCCAAAGACCACCAAACATTGCCAGTAAACCACCAAAAGGTTGGAGAAAGGCTTTCCTGCAGATGCTGCTGCAAAGACCTGCCCCTT